GAAATTGCTCAAGAAGCTATTTCTAATCAAGCTATTCGACCTTGGTGTGTTTCTTATTTCCATTATGCATCTGGATTACTGAGTTTAAGGGAAAAGTGTTTGTAGGGCCACAAGGGAGACCTAAGGGATACTATCTTGCAGTTTATGCATGGCTCAGGTTTAGGGGGGCATTCTGGAATCCAGAGAACTTATCAGAGGGTGCATAGGATATTTGATTGGCCTGGCTTGAAGGGTCAAGTAAAGGAGTTAGTCACTGCCCGCTATACTTGTCAACTCAACAAACATGAAACTTCCAAAGTGGTTGGCTTGCTCCAACCTTTGCCAGTTCCAGACCAAGCTTGGAGTTATATTACTATGGATTTTATTGAGAAGCTTCCCCATTCTAAGGGCAAGAATACTGTTTGGGTGGTGGTTGATAGATTCACTAAATACAGTCACTTCATTGCCCTCACTCACCCTATGAGTGCATCATTGTTGGCACAAGTTTTCTTGGACAACATTTACAAATTGCATGGTCTTCCTACATATATTGTCTCGGATCGTGACAAGATATTCACCAGCACTTTTTGGGAAGAATTGTTTAAGGCTTTGGGGGTGCAATTGCAATTGAGTACTGCCTATCATCCGCAAACGGATGGACAAACTGAGCGAGTTAATCAGTGCTTAGAGGGGTATTTGAGATGCATGTGTTGCAAATTTCCTAAGCATTGGAATAGTTGGTTAGCATTGGCAGAGTGGTGGTACAATTCCACTTACCATTCTGCTATTAACATGTCTCATTTTCAAGCATTGTATGGTTATCCACCTCCTCTGGTGGGCTATGGAGTGGTAGAGGAATTTAAATCAGTGGGCGTGGAGCAATGGGTGCATGATCATGCTAAACTGCTGGAACATCTTAAGGAATTGGGGTTAATAGCATTTCGCCACCTAGACTTTGCACGTTTTTGCACTTTACCACCTTAACTAAAAAAAGTTGTAAGGGCACACCCAAACTTATTTTTTTTACGCACATAACCACCTACGGGGAATATTCCGGCGAATCTTCTCATTTTCCGGCGCACGCGCGTTGCACATGCTTAATGGAATGGTTTTTTGGTCATTTCACCTCAAAATTTTTGTGGGGCCTGTTTTTCTCTCTCTCTCTCCCTTTTCTCTCTCCCTTTCTCTCTCTCTCTCTCTCTCTCTCTCTCTCTCTCTCTCTCTCTCTCTCTCTCTCTCTCTTTCTCGGACACCCACACATATACAGACATCCCATCATCATCTTCTTCTTCTCTTCATTCTTTGTGCTTTTCTGAAGAATCAATCTTCGTCCGCCGCCGTCGCTGCCTCCTCTTCGAAAATGTTGGGGATGAACTGCAGCTCATCGGTGTGGGCATTCTAGCGGTTCCTGCAGGAGGCCGCCTCCCCCGATCACAACAGCACCACCGTATAACGCAACGACGTCGGTGAGATCGAAGCCAACTGCAGTCGTAACGATGATAATCCGCGGTGACAAATTGCGGCGGCGGTGGGCCCACCCAAAATATTCCTCTAGATTTTGAGGAGTACCAGGCCTTACTTAAAAGCCGCGTCAAGTTGGCCTGCACTGCCGTCACTTTGTCCCGGCTACAAGCTTTTTTTCTTATCCAATTTTATTTTTTAAGGAAAAAGGGAAAATAGTGGGATTCCATATTTGATGATGCTAGGCTGATAATTTGTACCATATGCTTAATGTTATGTACCTTATGGCTCTTTCCACATGTTTAATCTCCATCTTCTCTATAATTTATGATATTTACTACAGTATGAGTTTTCTATATCTATATATTTATTTTCTTACTTACAGATACTGAAAAATTGACTTCAATTTGTGCTTGTTAAGGTGGGTGATGCTTTGTACATGATTGAAGAAATGGTCAATAATGGAATCAAACCTACGATTTATACTTTCATAGTTCCCATCACAGCATTGCTCGCGGAGTTTCTTTTGGGAAAAAATGATTCTTGACAAAAGCACAAAGAAAGAAGAGAAGAAGAAGATGATGATGGGGGATGTCTGTAAGTGTGTGGGTGTACGAGAAAGAGAGAGAGAATAAGAGAGAGAGAAGGAGAAGAAAGAGTAAAAAGAGGGCCCACAAATTTTTTGAGGTGAAATAACCAAAAAACCCCTCCATTAAGCATGTGTATCGCGCGTGCGTTGGAAAATTAGAAGATTCGCCGGAATATTCCTTCTAGGTGGTTATGTGCGTCAAAAACGTAAGTTTGGGTGTGCCCGTGCAACTTTTTTTAGTTAAGGTGGTAAAGTGCAAAAACGGGCAAAGTCCAGGTGGCGAAATGCTATTAACCCTAAGGAATTGCTGCAACGGGCTCAGGATCGTATGAAGCTTCATGCAGACAAACATAGGCAAGAACGGGACTTTGCTGTCGGAGATTGGGTGTATTTAAAGCTCAAACCCTATAAACAGTTGAGTATGCGCAAGAGTCAGGTCTGGAAGCTTACACCCAAGTTTTGTGGTCCTTTTCAAGTTGTTCGACGGATTGCGGCCGTGGCGTATGAATTACAGTTACCAGCCACTGCCAAAATTCATCCCGTTTTTCATGTTTCATTGCTCAAGATCAAGCATGTCGGCTCGAGGGACCAGACAGTGGCAGACATTCCATCTATGACCGATAGTGGGGAGTTGCTTTTAGTTCCGCTGAAGGTGTTAGACAGGCGTATGGTTAAACGCAACAATACCGCCATGGGCCAAATGCTCGTGCAGTGGGCTCATTTACCGGTGGAAGAGGCGGCGTGGGAAGATGCGGATTCGATGTTGCTACATTTTCCTTTATTCCACGCATGAGGACATGCTCGTTTAAAAGGGGCAGGTATTGTAACGGTATTAACCGTATTAACTAATCGGTTTTGGCAGGGACGAAGGAAACGACGATGTTTGGAGGAGAAAACGTAAAAGAACTCATAAAAACGTGTTTTGAATATTTTGAATAATAGCAACATTAATTTGTTAGTAGAGTTGGCTGCGTCCAATCACTGAGTGACACGTGCGTCATCTTCTTCAGTAGCTTTAGGCTATAAATAGTAAGCCAACTGAAGAAGGAATGGCATGGAAGTTGTATTTTTGTAAATCACATTTTCAGATTAATGAAAAAGGGGAGTTTGTGAGCTAAATCAGTTAGGATTCTAGCATAATCCTAACAGACCCCACTATCGAAACAACACCGCCGAAAAAACATTAGCACACACCTCACACCGCAGTAGTCCGACGGATCCCCGCACAAACTCGATGATTTCATAGCCCAAAAATAGGGGATGGTAGAAAGAGTGTTGAGTTGTGGGTATTCTTGATTTTTGTGTTAATTTGCCAAAAAAATAAAGTAAATTTATAAAATAGGATATGAAGTATGTTGGGTTTCTTGAATTTTGTGTTAATTTACCTTATGCCAAAGAAATTAGAAAAGTATATCGGGAATTGCTCCTCCCTATCACGATGAAAAAGACCGAATAGGATAGAATTTTTTAAACGTTGACCATAAATAACAGGGACTATTTTGGCACGATTTGTAGTTTAAGAGGTGTTTGTGACAAACTCTATAGTTCAGGGGTGCAAATTGTACTTTATGCTATTTTTAATTCAGAATTTTCATAGCAATTCGAGATTACACAGGGATGGTAAAGGCTAATATACTTCATTTCAACTCTCGTGGTGAGAGGAGTTAAGAAGGAGATTCTCAAACTTTCCGCTGATCTGAACTCAGTCAAAAACGTGTTGGATGATGCAGAGAAGAAGATGTATAAGGAAAAGAGCATCAAAGATTGGCTGACGAGGCTCGAAAGGGGATATTCCTTACTCCAAGATGAGCAAATTGTCTATGGGTAAATTTTCCAATTAATATTGCAATTTTTTTTTATAATTGTTATTTTTATTTAATGAGCGAAGATTTGTCGAAAGGGGATTGTATTGAATGATTCTTGCTTATGCGAAAGGTCTAACTTTGCGAAGCTGTCTTTGGTGTCCCTTTTGTTTGTTTATCTTGTGCATTTTTAAGACACAATTTATTAGACTTTTGGTCCTTACACTAAAATAAATAATTCAAATATAAAATAAAAATACAACGAGAACCCGAATGATTAGATGTCGACAAAATATTGAATAATTCTAAATTGTTATTGTTAAATGAGATGGTGCTTATAACTGGGTTGAAGCCTATGTAAATGTATATGTTTATAGTTTTGGGTTTGTTCTTGTGGAGCTTATGCCTGGGTTTAAGCCTATAATGACAACTTCGACGAGTGATATTCGGAGGCGGTTTTTTTCTTTAATGGACGAAAATACCCTTGATTCGATTCTTGATGATCACGTGTTGAGAGGTGAAAGTGGAAGAGTTGTTGCGGAAGCAAAAGTTGCAAAAAGATGTTTGGATTTGAACGGTAAGAAACGTCCAATGGGATATGAAAGAAGTTGCTGTGGAATTGGAGAGTGTGAGAATAGCTCAAATGGGATCGAGTGTAGGGGCAAAATTGGCAGAAGAAGTCGCACTCATCATGACTCACCCACAGCTGTACATACAGTTGACTTGGAAAATGTCAATAACAAACTCTGTGTTCGTTGTTCAAGTCTTTTTTTAATCTTTCTGCATAAAACTCTTTGTCAGTTGTTAAAATAAAAAATCACCATCGTCTTCATCACGTATTTAACTCTTTTTTTTTTAAATGCAAACAAAATTTCATTGATGCTGATTTATTTTTAAAACGGAAAAATATATGTGAGAAATAAAATGCAAACAAAAATTCGAAAGTTTGACCAAATAACGGTCGCACTCATCACGATGTCCCACCCACAGCTGGGACAGTTGACATGGAAAATGTCGATGTATTTTTTTAATATTTGTGCATACATCTCCACTTAGTCACAATTATAGATCAATATTACCATCAGAGAAAGGAAAGAATCAAGCCACAGACTATAATAATATACACAGAATTTAGAGAGAGAAAAAAAAAAACTGTTTAGTGATCAATCATGGCAGCCAATGCTATCTATTCTGTGCTGGGGCGGGTTGCGGGTCTCGGAGTAGGGCCGGGCCTGAACCAAGTGAATTTGGTGATAGGCGTTGAGAAGGAGATTCAGATTCTTTCCGATGAGCTGAAAAGGGTTATAAATGTGCTGGATGATGCGGAGAAGAAGGGGTGCAAGGACAAACTCGTCAGAGACTGGCTGACGAGGCTCGAAAACACGACCTATGAAATGGACGACGTTTTGGACGAATGGAATGCGGCGATTCGCGAACGTGAGACGGAACAACATTCTTTCGATAATGTTTTACTACTTTGGTTGTACAAGGTACGCTCCTTTATCCCTTCCTCGTGTTTATTGTGTTTCGAGAAAGTTGTTGTGCGTCGTAATATTGCCTTGAAAGTGAAAGAAGTGGTAGCACGGCTTGATCTAATTTTGGCGGAGAAAGATCGGTACGGTTTTGCGACCACGCCACAGCCATCTGATCGTGAATTATGGCGGGGTCAAACTACTTCTTTCATCGACTTAGAGGAAATTTATGGCCGAGAATTAGAGAGAGAAGACGTGGTGAGACAACTTGTGGGTGAAGGTGGTAGTAGTGAAGAAGGATTAATAGGAGGCATCCGCGTCATATCTATAGTGGGTGTGGGTGGCCTTGGGAAGACAACTCTTGCTCAACTAGCTTATAACAATAGTCAAGTAATGAATTATTTTGAGTTAAGAATTTGGATATCTGTTTCAGATCCCTTTAACGAGGTTGAGATTGCGAAAGGGATTGTGGCAAGTGTGGAAAAGTTGGATGAACCCCCAAGGACCAATCAATTGGAAATGCTACTGCAACGTCTAAAAAAGTCTATTTCAGGGAAAAAGTTTCTTCTTGTTATGGATGATGTTTGGACAGAAGACGATATCAAGTGGAAACCCCTGAAAAATGCTCTCAAAAGTGGTGGAACGGGTAGCAAAGTTTTGGTGACAACTAGAAACGAAAGGGTTGCAATAATGATGATGGGAGAGTTTATCAATAATAATTGGATGATCCATCGTTTAGGAGTTCTCAATGATGAAGATTGTTGGTCATTATTAGGTCGGATTGCCCTTTGTGGTAAGAACAAATATCAATGTGAAGAATTTGAGAACACAGGTAAGCAGATAACCAAGAAGTGCAATGGATTACCGCTTGCAGCAAAGACTTTGGGAAGTCTCTTACGGTTCAAGACTACATTGGAAGAGTGGGAGAGCGTGTTGAATAGTGAAATATGGAAGTTGGAGGAAGTAAAAGATGACCTCTTCCGCCATTTGTTTCTTAGTTACAACGAGTTGTCCCCAACATTGAAGCGTTGCTTCTCGTATTGTGCTGTCTTTCCTAAAGATACCATAATTTATGTGGATGAACTAATAATAAAATGGAGGGCAATGGGTTATCTAGGATCGAATGCTGTTGATGACTGGAAAGTTAGAGGGAGAGGGTGCTTTAATAATTTAACAATGCGTTCTCTGTTTCAAGACTTTAAGAAAGATGGCAATAAGATAGAATCATTTATGATGCATGACATTGTACATGATTTTGCTCAATTCCTGAGGAAGGATGTGGGGTCAAGAATAAAGAAAACAACTTGCGAAGAGTGTAGTCCTTTGTTAGTTTCCCAGGTCGAAAAATATCGTAGCAGCTTATTTCAGGGTAAAGAAGTTCTTGATCCACATGTTTGTGATTGCCTAACGAGTGTGAGGTTGCTCGATTTAAGACGTTGTGGCTTGCAAGCCATTCCGAAAGAAATAGAAAAATTGATTCACTTGAGGTGGTTGAACTTGAGTTATAATGAATTTGCTGGTGATGATCTGAAGTCCATTTGTAAGTTGTATAACTTGGAATTTCTTTGGGTTGATAGGTGCGGGCTACAAGAAATTCCGTTGGAGATTGGGAATTTGAGTGAGTTGATACACTTGGATTTGAGCTGGAATAGAGGACTGAGAGAGTTGCCGGAGAGCCTATGCAATTTGAGTAAATTAGAAAGTTTGGATGTAAATTGGTGTGAGAGTCTGCGTGGACTTCCACGAGGGATCCACAGGCTGAAGAAGCTCAAACATTTGTATAATGAATATACTTATTCTCTGAAGCAATATCCACAAGGAATATCCCAATTAACGAGTCTAGTCACATTGAATAAAGTCCTTCCTTGTGATGGGAGCCAGATTGGGTGGTTGACGAATTTAAACCGACTTAGCGGGGAAGTGAAGTTGCGGATAGAAATAAGGAGTTGTTGTGATTCAGTAGAGGTGGTGGTGGAGGATGCTCGTGAAGCGGAGTTGGGGAAAAAAACGCAGATTCAGGAACTGATAATAAATTTTGATGTTAAATTGCCATCACCATCAACATCGGTTTGGAATGAAGTACTAGATGCTCTTCACCCACATCCAAACCTCCAACAACTGACTATCCGGTTCTATAACGGTTCCCGACTTCCGGGATGGATTGTGTCGCCCCTCAACCAACTCACATCCATTGGGCTCTACAGTTGTGAATTCCTTGTGTCGTTACCGCCATTGGGTAAACTACCTCTACTGGAGACTCTTTGGATTGAAGGTTTACCTAAATTGGAATATGTTGGACGGGAATTCCTGGGAATAGTAACATGTTCATCGATGGGTACTATTGATGGTGGCTTCCCCAAGTTGAAGAAACTGAGTTTTGGGGGATTTAATAACTGGAAGAAGTGGGAAGACATTACGGTGGAAGAAGAAGAAGAAGATAATGTTGCTATCTCAATAATGCCTTGCCTGACGAAGTTGACGATCCGTGCCTGCTGGAGATTGATGGATCTGCCGCAACGCCTCATGCGAAAGGTTTCATCATTGAAGAGGTTGGATATTTATGGTTCCAAACTGGTAGATGCTCTTGAGCCACATCCAAACCTACATAAGCTGAAGATTTATAACTATGAAGGCTCTCAACTTCCACGATGGATCACGTCGCCCCTCAACCAACTCACATATGTTGAGCTCGCCTATTGTGACGGCCTTCTGTTGCTGCCGCCGCTGGGTAAGCTACCGCTACTGGAGACTCTTCTGATTTGTGGTTTATCTAAATTGGAATATGTTGGACGGGAATTCCTGGGAATAGCAACAACAACATCTTCGTGTTCGTCGGGTACTAATAATATTATTTATGGTGGCTTTCCCAAGTTAAAAAAACTGTCATTTTGGAGCTGTCCAAAGTGGAACAAGTGGGAGGACATCACCACTGCCCAAGAAGAAGAAGAAGAGTATTCAATAATGCCTTGCCTCACGGAGTTGACTATCTATTACTGCAACGGATTGACGGAGCTGCCGCAACGGCTCCTGCGAAAGGTTTCATCACCATTGAAGAAGTTGGATATTAAACGTTCAACACAATTGATACAAGTCTACGGGGACAAGGAGGGTCAACCCTGGGAATCCATTTCCCGCCACAATCCACACCTTCTCCTCTACCCTCGAGTTTATTTCAATTAGTTTTTTGCCATTCATCTTTCATTAATTCAATTAATATCATTACCATTAATTAATTAATTCCTTGTTTTTTTCATATATATCATCAATATCACTTGTACTATTAGAATAGAGTTGGATAATGAATTATAACAACAACACTCTACTATTTCAGCTAATCCTAATCCTAATCCTAATATATTACTAAATTAAGCTACATATACATATTATTAATGGTGATCGAGAAATCGGGTCGTCATGCATCAACGAAATCACTTCCACCATTAATCTTTGCCCGTTTTTGCACCGAACCGGGTCGGAACTCACAAAATATGCCGGGCCGGGTTGGCCCAGATTGAAAACGGTGTTTCCATCGTCGAATACGGAGATGGGGTGGGTTGAGTTGCAGTGGTAGTACCCCCATTTGTCCACCACCACCACCACCGAATCATTCTTGTACACGAAACCTTGTTTTACAATAATAAATAGTTACATAAATATTAATGAAGATCAATTACACAAAATATAAGTTGAAAATTATTACATTATATATATATTTAAAAAAAAAAAAAAAAGTACTTACGGAGAGAATCTCCAACGTGGAATCTCATGATTATATATAAGAATAACTTTACACAGACAGCAAACCTTCAGAATCTCAACGCGGCCTATAACTCCAGGCTTGGGAATATATATTTTCCGATCGAACCTCCCAGGTCTCACAAGTGCCGGATCCAAAATGTCTGGTCTATTAGTCGAGGCAATGGTAATGACTTCACCTCTGCCTTCAAACCTGATAAGGAACGTCAAATTGGATTCGTGTTGCAAAATAACTATTTAATTCGGAAAAGAGTTATTAATGGGCATTGGTGGAAATATCGAAAGAAATTATGGAAAAATAAGGGTTTTCGACGAACTCAAATTGTAGTTGAGTACGAAACAAACTCTATTTCAAGTGAAACGGCGCAAGGAAAAAAACTCATGAGCAAAGCTCATGAATCACGTCCAATTTCAGCAATCCAACGTCGTTTAGACTCCTAAAAGTTCGTTTTTGCTATTTTAGGTAAGTTTTAGAAAATTAATATCAAATCATAGAAAAATCGTATTAGGATTCCGTAAATTGGGTTGTTCCCAAAATCACGTGATATACTAGAATTAGGATTTAACTCGTTTTTGCCGTTTTTGGTAATTTTTCGTATTTTCTTAGTTTAATTAGGGTTTTCAGTTTTTTTAGTATAAATAGGTGACTTAGGACTTTATTTTGAGAAGAATTTCGAATTTTCATAAAATATTTAGAGTTTGCTCTATTTTTCTGGTGGATTCCAAAGTATTCGGTGGATTCCGAATGTTATTTTGTTCTATAGGATTAATTCGTTAATTCTTTATCGTGCTTCCGTTCTGCGTCAGTTGGTATCAGTAGCGAGGTTTTTCCTGGTTAGATGGCGAAAGGTGTGAAACGTGGAGACAACAACTACGTTGGCGATGACCGCGGGGTTGAAAAGTTGCAAAATCTGCGGTTGGTGCGCGAGGGATTTGCCCTTGACAACAACAACAGAAGGACTGAATCTAACACGATGATTGCCAACGGTGTAGCCCGATGATGCGATCTCTTGAGTATCATAAATATTTCCTACGAAACGTAAGATCTATTCTTTATTATTTTTCTCTGCATAATAAAACCCTAGCACAATACGACTATTTAAAGAGAATAAACCCTAGAATCCTAATCTAACTATGAAACATAATTACCTATACTAATTAAATACTTAATATCTATTCTAAATACTAAACACACGGTAATATAAAACTACTTATACTACTTTAATTAATTAATAATAATAAAATACTAACTAAACAATAAATAATTAATATATTAAATTATATGTCGTATCAAACCACCCCTCTTGAAATGAACCTTGTCCTCAAGGTTCTGCCCAATAATCGTCTCTCTTTTTTGTGTTTCCACCTATGCTTGACGCCATCGAATTGCTTTCCGATTGAATCGGAAAAACATGACGAAAAATCGAGCTCTTTTCCGAATACGAGTCCATATACCCGAACGAAATTTCTCAATCTCTTACCCGATAAATCAACCTTCGTCTCAATTGTCTTTTCAAATCTCATCTCCTTCACAATCAATATTGTGCTTTTATTTTTCTCGATCGTCTTTACAGATCCGGGCTCATTCACAGTCACCAAATCTTGTTCGTCTCCTTTCTTTTGAATATCGTGGGACTCTTCTAATATCCACTGTAGTTCTTCGTTCTCTTCCTTAGTTAATTCATCACCTTCGTCCCAAATTACCTCAAGTGAATCCGATAATTCATCTTTCGGCGAACTCACAAAAAATTGGGGTTCTTCGAAAAAATCATCGTCGTCCTCTTCCTCTTCCTTTTGCGGTAGGCTTGGCATTGGCGGCGGCAGTGGATCTTCGAAAAAGTCATCGTCGTCCTCTTCCTCTTCTTCCGGCAATAGGCTCGGCAGCGGCAGCGGCAGCGGCAGCGGCGGTGATGGGCGGCGGTCCCTTCGGCTATTGTGATGGCGTTGACGTCGTCCTTGACTTTGTTCGAGCAATTTCTGAAAATTAATCCGTAATTTCTCTACGGATTTCTCCAATCGCTCTAACCGTCTTGTTTCTGACATCGTGATTTTCACAAAGTTTTGATGTGATCTCAACTTTGCTCCAGCGTAGCTTTGATGTAATCGCTGCCTTGCTAACGAAGCGTTGGTGTTAATCGCAACTTCGCTCTGATACCAATTGATGCGATCTCTTGAGTATCATAAATATTTCCTACGAAACGTAAGATCTATTCTTTATTATTTTTCTCTGCATAATAAAACCCTAGCACAATACGACTATTTAAAGAGAATAAACCCTAGAATCCTAATCTAACTATGAAACATAATTACATATACTAATTAAATACTTAATATCTATTCTAAATACTAAACACACGGTAATATAAAACTACTTATACTACTTTAATTAATTAATAATAATAAAATACTAACTAAACAATAAATAATTAATATATTAAATTATATGTCGTATCACCCGAGCTGCATATGTTAGATGCAATTATCATGGACCTGTTCAAATTCAATCAAGGTATGATGACTATTCAAGGAGGAGCAAAAACTTTGAGTTTGAAGAAAACCCGTCTATAAGGAAGCAAAAAGATCGTGATAAATATCGGGTAAGAGCTGAAATTCCTTCTTTTAGTGGAAATTTTCTTGAAGTTGAGGATTTTATCGATTGGGTGTCAGAAGTCGAAAATTATTTTGAATTGATGGATATTTTGCCGAATAAGATGGTAAAATTGGTTAGGTGTGAGTTAAAGGGTTGTGCAGCCGCATGGTGGGATGAAATACAGAGGAAGAGAGTTAGACAAGAAAAATTTCCAATCCAATCATGGATGAGGATGAGAAAAATGTTGATGGATCGTTTTTTACCCCTAGGTTATGAGCAACGTCTATTTCAACTATATCGTAATTGTTCGCAAGGGAGTAGATCTGTTAACAAGTATACTGCTGAGTTTATGAAACTAGCAAACTTAAATAACCTGCAAGAATCCGAAAGTATGGAAATTTCAAGGTACTTGCAAGGATTGAATATTTCAATCCGTCTTAGGATAGGGTGGCGCGCAATCGACTCCCTTGAAGAGGTTGAAGAGTTAGCATGGAGCGAGGAATATTATCAGAAGCGAAATAGTTCTTCTAGAAAAATCAAAGATGTTCCACCCATTGCCAAAGTTAAGGAGGTACAAGATACTACGTTCGTTATTCAAGCATCCAGTTTGGTGGAGGATCATGGCGTACGAGTTAACAAAGTTGAAGAAGAAATTGTTGATGCAAAAGTTAAAATTAGTGTAGCTATGATTAACGATGACATTAACAAAATCAAGGTGAAAGTCAATGAAGTTGAAGGGGGAGTCAACGAGGTTGAAGAGAGCATCAACAAAGTCGAAGATAGCGTCAACGGGGTAGAAGAGAACGTTAGCAAGGTTGAAGAGGGAGTCGATGAGTTTCGAGAGGGTGTTAAAAATAAAATTGAGGAAGAATTTGAAGTTGTAAAATTTGTTCAAGAAGAGGAAGGTGCACGTGAAGAGAAGGAACAAGTGGATTGCGTTGAGGTATGTGATCTAATTGTAGATAGTGTTTGTTGTGAGGTTCATGTATCGGAGAAATTGGTAGAGCCATTGGAATTGTCGATGAAGAAGCCAATTTTTCTAATGCCTCGGTTGGAGGAAGATTTTGTAAGCGAGAGTTTTGTGTTGGGAAGATTGGTGGAGCAATTGAAGTTGTTTGCAAAGAAGTATTCATTGTTATATTTTGATCATAGCTCGAGGTCGAGCTCTTTTGAAGAAGAGGAGATTGATAAGGAACGTCAAATTGGATTCGTGTTGCAAAATAACTATTTAATTCGGAAAAGAGTTATTAATGGGCATTGGTGGAAATATCGAAAGAAATTATGGAAAAATGAGGGTTTTCGACGAACTCAAATCGTAGTTGAGTACGAAACGAACTCTATCTCAAGTGAAACGGCGCAAGGAACAAAACTCATGAGCATAGCTCATGAATCACGTCCAATTTCAGCAATCCAACGTCGTTTAGACTCCTAAAAGTTCGTTTTTGCTATTTTAGGTAAGTTTTAGAAAATTAATATCAAATCATAGAAAAATTGTATTAGGATTCCGTAAATTGGGTTGTTCCCAAAATTACGTGATATACTAGAATTAGGATTTAACTCGTTTTTGCCATTTTTGGTAATTTTTCGTATTTTCTTAGTTTAATTAGGGTTTTCAGTTTTTTAGTATAAATAGGTGACTTACGACTTTATTTTGAGAAGAATTTCGAATTTTAATAAAATACTTAGAGTTTTCTCTATTTTTCTGGTGGATTCCAGAGTATTCGGTGGATTCCGAATGTTATTTTGTTCTATAGGATTAATTCATAGAAATTAATTCTTTACCGTGTTTCCGTTCTGCGTCAAAACCCATCGAGGCACACAAGAAGCTGGAGCATAGTTATGGTGTTGCATATTAGTAACAACCCGTACATTATTTATCAATTGGAAACTAAAAGAAATACAATATGCGCAAGAAACCTGATTTAAAGTAGCATCACGTTCTTGTCCACCGGACCCCTTAATTAAACCACGTTCTCTACCAACAGCATCCAGTTCATCAATGAAAACAACAGATGGAGTCTGCATTAGTCACATAAAACATGGATCTTATTGCCATTTCCATCAATAACTTAAACAGTTGTTAGAAGTTAACATCATTCGAATTATCATAATCAAACAAAGGAAGAGAAAGACTCACATTTTCCCTTGCATCTTGGTAATGTTGGGAAAATTGGTTAAAAATTGAGTCATGAACAATTTTTTATTAATGTTATTGTATGGTCTAATTGATTATATAAATCAATTTTTGGATTAGATTAATATAAAACCAATTTTGTGGTGAATGAAAAATTACTAGTCCAAAATATAAGGAAAGTGGGATTTTGAGTTATCCCACATTGGAAAAGTAGAGAAGTACTGAGCTGTATATATATCAAAATGTTGGGACAAACAGTCACGCCCTTTAGGCATTCAACTTTGTTTGGGAGAAATGCTTATATGTTATGTGTTTCAAATTGTGCACACGTGCGCGCGCTGGCGCCGGATTTGGGCTCGGGCCCAAATCACTACATTGTTTTTTTGAGCCAAAAAAATTAGGTCATGGGCCGTCAACCCATTGGGCCCTTCTTACTCGAAGCCCACCTCGAATGGTTTGAATTGGTGCGGCCGAACCAATGCAAACCATTCGGCTCAACTCGAAATGATGCAACCACTCACAATCGGCTCAACTCGAAATGGTGCAACCATTCAGCCAAAAATGTACCTTTTTGCTCCAAAGGACACTACTTTTCGAACCTTATAAATAGACCCTGTCTTTCCCAGAATTCCTCACTTCAATCCAAAATCAGCCTACTGTATATTAAGCCTACCCTTCACAGATTCTCTCGAAAAGTTCTACACAAAGTACAGTTCGTCGTACTTGGGATTTGAAGTACTCTTATTCCAAGCCTTGCCGTTGTATCTTGGGAGACGATTTCCATTCAAGCCGTTAGCACCGTTGCGGGGAAATTTCGTCTTAAGGACAGAGTCAACTCGCCTTGGCAAATATTCGTTCATAGTAGATTAATCCTAACAATCTTAAGACGAAATCTTACAATCTGCAAAAATGGCCGAAGGAGACAACAACAACAACCTGCCGGAAAACCAAGATGTTGATCCACCAACCCAAGGAGTGCAGCCACCAAATGTTCCTGTTCCTCCTCCAAACGGTGTTGTTCCACCTCCGGTTCTTCCACCAACGTTTCGTCCAGCTCCATACCCTCCTGTCGTCGCTCATGGAGAAAAACCGGAAAAGTTCAAAGGTATCGATTTCAAACGTTGGCAACAGAAATTGCTCTTTTACCTCACCACTATCAACTTGGCTGTTTTCGTTACGGAAACACCTCCCGCTGTGCCTACTGCCAACGCTACCTTGGAAACGAGAGTTGCGTGGGAAGCTTGGTTTCATTCCGACTTCTTGTGTCGGAACCACATCTTGAATGCTCTAGATGATTCACTATACAATGTGTACAGTGCTATCAAAACCGCTAAGGAACTGTGGGAGTCCTTAGAAAAAAAGTACAAAACGGAAGATGCCGGGTTGAAAAAATTCATCGTCGGGAAGTTTTTGGACTTCAAAATGGTGGACACCAAGACTCTTATAAGCCAAGTCCAAGAATTGCAACTCATCATGCATGATATTCATGCCGAAGGAATGAGGTTGAGTGAATCCTTTCTAGTTGCTGCAATGATCGAAAAGCTACATCCGCTTTGGAAGGATTTCAAGAATTATCTCAAGCACAAACGCAAGGAAATGGGGCTTGAAGATCTTATCGTGAGGCTAAGGATTGAAGAAGACAATCGAAAGACTGAGTCCACAATCGGCAAGCAGCAAATGGAGGCTAAAACACACCTTATGGAACCAAACATGCAGGTTAGCAAGAAAAGAAAGGCTCAAGGAAGTGCTAGTGGCGGTGGAAATGGAAGCAACAACGGCAAAGGAAAATGGAAGCCTAAGAAGTTCAAGTTCGATTGGAACGTGTCACAATTGCGGCAAGCCAAATCACATGGCAAAGGATTGTCGTCAACCCAAGAGGCAAGCTAACATGGTCGAAGACAAAAGTGTTCCGATCCATGTCCGATCTCAACTTGTGTGCCGTAGTCTTTGAAGCTAACTTGGTGGACAATCTCAAGGAATGGTGGCTCGATACGGGTGCAACTCGTCACATATGCTCCAACAAGGAGTCGTTCTCCTCCTACACTCCAATCAACGGTTAAAAGGTGTTCATGGGAAACTCTGCAACGTCGGACATTGTAGGCATAGGAAAGGTTGTTTAGAAGCTCACCTCCGGGAAGAAACTCACTTTGGCTAATGTACTGCACGTTCCGGATATCCGTAAAAAAATTAATTTCCGGAACGCTGCTCACTAAGGCTGGTTTTAAGTTAGTTCTTGAGGCTGAGAAATTAATTCTCACCAAGAATGGTTGTTTTATAGGGAAAGGCTATGTTGATAACAGCCTTGTTAAGATGAATGTAATGACGCTTGTTCACAAGTTTGATGATAATAAAATTACTAATTCTATGTACTTGATAGAGTGTTCTAAATTATGGCATGTTAGATTAGGACATGTGAATTTTAAAACACTCAAAAAGTTAGTAGACTTAGAACTACTACCTCATCTTAAATTCGATTCTCAAAATAAATGTGAAACTTGTGTAGAAGCAAAAATGACTAAATTGTCATTTAATTATGTTGAAAGAATAACGGAACCTCTAGATTTAATTCACAGTGATATTTGTGATTTAAAATTTGTGCAAACTAGAGGAGGAAAGAAATATTTTATTACATTTATTGACGATTGCACTAAATATTGTTATGTGTTTTTGCTAAGGAGCAAAGACGAGGCCTTGGAAGCTTTTAAAAGCTATAAAGTTGAAGTGGAAAATCAACTTGGAAGAAAAATCAAAATGATTCGAAGTGATAGAGGTGGAGAACATGGTGCTCCATTTGATGAATTTTGTTCTCAAACCGGCATCATTCATCAAACTACGGCACCTTACTCACCCCAATCAAATGGTGTTGCTGAACGCAAAAATCGGACTCTTAAAGAAATGATGAATGCAATGTTAATAAATTCGGGTCTACCTCAGAATTTGGGGGGGAGGGGGGGGGGGGGGGAGCACTCCTCTCAGCCAATCATATTCTTAGTAAGATTCCGTACCGAGAAAAGAAAGAAACCCTTATGAATTATGGAAAGGTCACAAGCCGTCCTATAAATATTTAAAAGTGTTGGGGTGTTTGGTTAAGGTACAAGTACCTAAACCAAAACAAATAAAAATTGGGCCTAAAACTGTTAATTGCATCTTTATTGGCTACGCAAACAACAGTAGTGCATATAGATGTTTAATACACAAGTCTGATGTTCTTGATATGAATGAAGGCACAATCATTGAATCAAGAAATGTTGATGATAGATTTCCCTATAAAGAAAAATCAGCAACGAGTTCTAACAAAAGAACATATGAAACTGCTAATGATGGGTTTCAAAGTGATGATGAACCTAGACGAAGTACTAGGGCAAAAATTGCTAAGTCCTTTGGACCGGAATTCCTAACATATACTATGGAAAATGATCCAAGGACCATAAAAGAAGCTTTATCCACTCCCGAAGCGCCGCTTCGGAAAGAAGCAATCAATAGTGAAATTGATTCAATTATGCAAAATCATACGTGGGTATTGGTTGATCTACCTCCGGGAAATAAACCGTTGGGCTGTAAATGGATTCTCAAAAGAAAGTACAAAGCCGATGGCTCGATTGATAAATACAAGGTAAGATTAGTAGTCAAAGGATTTAGACAAAAGGAAGGTCTAGATTTCTTTGATACTTATTCGCCCGTAACGAGAATCACATCAATTAGAGTACTTCTAGCAATTGCTGCCTTGCACAATCTAGAAGTTCACCAAATGGACGTTAAGACAACCTTTTTAAATGGTGAATTAGAAGAAGAAATATACATGGAACAACCCAAAGGGATTGTTGCTCATGGACAAGAGTCCAAAGTATGTAAACTTGTGAAGTCACTTTATGGACTAAAACAAGCTCCCAAGCAATGGCATGAAAAATTTGATAGAACAATACTAGCAAATGGGTTTAAAATAAATGAGTGTGATAAATGTGTATACATTAAAAACACACCAAATGAATTTGTGCTTATATGTCTCTCTGTGGATGACATGTTAATTATGGGCAGTAATCACGAGATAATCGTGAAAACTAAGAAAATGTTATCGACACATTTTGACATGAAAGATATGGGTCTAGCCGATGTAATTTTGGGAGTGAAAATTATCAAAAATGAAAATGGACTAGTTTTTACTCAATCTCATTATATTGAGAAAGTACTACGAAAATTTAAAATGTTTGATAGTCCACCTGCTACGATCCCAATCGATTTGAAAATTCACTTAGCCAAAAATTGTGGAGAACCAGTGGATCAACTGAAATATTCTCAAATTATAGGCAGTCTAATGTACGTCATGAATTGCACTCGTCCGGACATTGCTCATTCGGTTAGTAAATTAAGTAGATTTACAAGCAATCCTAGAAATGACCATTGGAATGCATTAACTAGAGTACTTAGATACTTGAAATATACTCTAGATCTTGGTTTGCATTATACAAGATATCCATCTGTACTAGAAGGCTACAGTGATGCGAATTGGATATCCGATACTAAAGATTATAAATCCACAAGTGGTTATGTTTTCACTATAGGTGGAGCTGCTGTGTCATGGAAATCTACAAAGCAAACATGTATAGCTCGATCCACAATGGAGTCGGAGTTCATAGCTTTAGATAAAATTGGAGCAGAAGCGGAATGGCCTCGTAATTTCCTAGAAGATATTCCGTGTTGGAATAAACCAGTGCCGACAATATTGATTCATTGCGATAGTCAATCAGCAATTGGAAGGGCACAAAGCAGCATGTATAATGGTAAGTCTAGACACATTCGTCGCCGACATAATACCATAAGGCAATTGATCTCAAATGGAATAATTTCTATAGACTATGTAAAGTTTAAAGACAACTTAGCAGATCCGTTGACTACAGATTTACCAAGAGATCAACTACAATGTCTATCTAGGGGAATGGAATTAAAACCCATCAATTAAGGACAATCTTAGTGGTAACCCAACCATGCTGACTAGAGATCCCAAGAACTGGTTCAAAAGGGACAACTAAGCTAAGAAAGTTCAGTCGAGCACTAAGAAACTCATTCCTAACTCATTCCCGCGAAAGATAATAGTGCTACATGCAGAAAGGGTAAAAGGTGAGGTATTGGCAGGATACATTTAATAGGAGATCACCTATGTAAGTGTATGACGTGAGGGCCGCTTCAAAAACTTGACAAACACTTATGAATCCAAGATGTGTGTCCATGGCCAAAACGGACACAATCATGAGAACTAAGGAAATGTAAGAATAGTATTGTGTGGGTTGCATTGTCTTGGTTTACACGAACGGCTGACAGTTCAAGACATCGCGTTCACTACTCAGCCTAGTAAATCCGATGTAACTCCACTACGGAAGGTTCAAAGCTATATGCTATCTATCGCGATGCAATACTATTTGTGGGAACTCTAGAGAGAATCGAAGCCCTCGTTTTCATTCATGTGGGGGATTGTTGGGAAAATTGGTTAAAAATTGAGTCATGAACAACTTTATCAATGTTAATGTACGGTCAAATTCATTATATAAATCAATTTTTGGATAAGATTAATATAAAACCAATTTTGTGGTGAATGAAAAATTACTAGTCCAAAATATAAGGAAAGTGGGATTTTGAGTTGTCTCACATTGGAAAAGTAGAGAAGTACTGAGCAGTATATATATCAAAATGTTGGGACAAAGGGTCACGCCCTTTGGGCATTCAACTTTGTTTGGGACAAAGGCCTATATGTTATGTGTTTCAAATCGTGCACACACGCGCGCGCGCCGCCGCCGTCCGGCCGGCTCACTCGTTTGTTCGTACGTACGGATCGGATTTGGATTTGGATTTGGGCTCGGGCCCAAATCACTACATTGTTTTTTTGGGCCAAAAACATTAGCTCATGGGCCGTCAACCCATTGGACCCTTCTTACTTGAAGCCCATCTCGAATGGTCTGACTGGTTTGAATTGGTGCGGCCGAACCAATGCAAACCATTACTTTTTGCTCCAAAGGACATTACTTTTCGAACCTTATAAATAGACCCTGTCTTTCCCAGAATTCCTCACTTCAATCCAAAATCAACCTACTGCATATTAAGCAAGCCTACCCTTCACAGATTCTCTCGAAAAGTTCTGCACAAAGTACAGTTCGTCGTACTTGGGATTTGGAGTGCTCATATTCCAGTTTGAAACACGTGAATTAAATTCACAATGTGTTTTTAACTTTTCTTAATTTCTAAACTAAATCTTAGTTAGTGGGCTTAGTAGGGCTAAGTAGTGCTTAGTGGATTTAATTATGGGATTTATCTTAACTTCCTAACTAACCCACTAACCCATTATCTTGAGTGCTCTTGTGGTTGGTTTTCTTGCAGATCATGGGCTGAAGAGTGGAAGCTTGGCAAGTCTATAAATACCAAACTCAAGACTCAAGATTATCACAGATTTCGAGAAAACAAAATAGAGAGCTGAAGTTTTAATCTCGAGAATTTTAGTGTGTTTTCTAGGATCTGTTGTACGTACTATTTATAAGTACATTCTTTGAAATCTAGAATTTTTGATATCTTTCTTTTAGTATCTAGATTTGGTTGTAAGAGTGATCTTGAAAAAGATTCACTCATAAGGAAGAAGTTTTCGCACTCTTCTGTTTGTATTCTTGGAATACTGATTTTAATATATTTTCCGTCCTGTAAAGGGCAAGTTCACAAGTCTTTACTTGTGAACATTTTTAATTCTGAGTATTGTTCTTTTGTCTTTATATTTCCGCTGCTTGTTTGTTCAAGTGTCATAACACCTTCAACAACACCTCTGTATTAAACGAATTCGGGACCATAAATTCTTTCAATTGGCATCAAGAGCCAACACTTGACGTATACTAAGTGTTTGTTCCTATTTTTCTTACAGAAACGAATTCGTGATGGATACTCAGATGACTGCTTCTATGCGACCTCCTGTACTTGATGGCACGAACTACACCTACTGGAAAGTCAAGATGAGGGCGTACATCAAAGCCATTGATGAGAGAGCATGGAGATCTATTCTCACTGGATGGAAGCCACCAACTATCACAGATGTGGACGGAGATGTTTTTCCAACTCCAGAATTACGGTGGACACCAGACGATCTATCAAATGCTAATCAAAACTCAAAGGCGTTAAATGCAATTTTCAATTCAGTAGATTTAACAATGTTTAAATTAATCTCTGTATGCACTTCTGCAAAGGATGCTTGGGAAATTCTTCAGCTACATTGTGAGGGATCAGATAGTGTCAAAAGAACCAAGCTCAGATTACTCTCTTCCAAATTTGAGAGACTGAGAATGGAGGAAACTGAAACAATTTCTCAGTACAATGAGAAGCTGATTGACTTGGCTAATGAATTTCAATCCTTAGGTGGTCCTTTGAGCAACGAGACACTAGTGAATAAGGTATTGAGAACTCTTCCAGAAAGGTTCAGCATGACGGTTACTGCTATTGAGGAGGCTAAAGATACATCATCTCTACGGCTGGACGAATTAATAGGAAGTCTCAAGTCCAGAGAGATGAACTTCGAAGATCAAAGAAAGGAGAAAGGAAAGGCTATCTCAAATGCACTCCAGGCAGAATTAGAGAAGGAAGATGTTGCTCCGGAATATGATGATGATGCAGAAGAATGCCTCAATAATGTGGCATTTCAGATTCAGAAATTCAATAGGGCGTTCAGACGAAGTGGAATCAAGCCCAGGCAGTTATTCTCAGAAGGGTCTCCACAAAATCGACAAACTCAGCCCCGGAACAGATCTATTCCACAGAGAACATTTCCTCAAACACCTTCTCAAAACAATTTAAAAAATTCTTCTTTTATTCGTTCAAATTCTGAACCACCTAACTTGGATCATATTAAATGCAGGGCCTGTTCAGGATTTGGACATTATGCTAATGAATGTGCAAATACCTTGAGAAGGAGAGGAATGAGTTTGATTTGTGCTGTCAGTGATGAGGAGGAAGAACAACCTGAACAGACAGAGGAACAGCAATCCTCTAAACAAGCTCTTTCTGTCAGATATCTTACTGGAAGTTCCACTGAAACAGAATCCCAAGGAGTCTCCCTGGATGCTGCAACACTTTCTGAAACACTTTCAATTTGTGAGTTAAATACTGATCAATATACATGTTTAAACTCTATTTCTGTGAATGCAGCAGAATCCAGTAATGAAGCAGTCAGTGATGATGAAGAAATGTGTAAAAAGCTGATCAGAAACTTGGAGAATAAGACTCAAGCTCTAGATGCAGCCAACAAGGAAAATTCCTCCCTCAAAGAAACAATCACACATTTGGAGGTTGGAATCACCAAGAAGGATCTTGAACTGGCAAAAGTGAAAGAAGAACTCAAAAAGGCAACTCTAGCAATCAAGAGGATGAACACTGGCACAACTAAGCTCGAAGAGATTGTGTCAATGGAAAAGCACTACAAACATGAAGGGCTAGGGTTCAAAAAACAAATGAAGCCAGTTAAGAAGAAAGAAATTGTCTTTGTAAAAGAGAAGGGTGCAAACAGAAAGGATTGCAGGAAGTCCACAGTCACCACTCCAGATTCCAGAATAAGAGGTTATGTTTGTCATTACTGTTTCTCACCAGGACACATTCGTCCATTTTGTGAAAAACTCAGCAGTGACAAAATGTTGTATAAAATAAGCCACAACACTTCAAGGAACACTTCAAAGAAAAAGGTAGAATCTACCAAAAAGGAGTGTAAAATATGGACTCCCAAAGGTAAATTTTTGTGCAAAGCAGTGTACACCTCTTTAAATGCTAACATTTCAGGTTCATGGTACTTTGATAGTGGATGCTCCAGGCACATGACTGGAACAAGGGAATTTCTATCAAACTACCACACACTTAATCGAGGACGTGTAACCTATGGAGGAGGAGCTAAAGGCAAAGTGGTTGGACGTGGAACACTCAGTATTGAGGGGCTTCCAAAACTCTCAAATGTTTTACATGTTGAAGGATTGGGGTCAAATCTCATTAGTATCAGTCAATTGTGTGATGATGATCTACGTGTAGAATTTGATAAATACTGTTGTTCTGTGTTTGATAATCAAAATCATTGTGTACTTACAGGTTCCAGATCAATGGATAATTGCTATCAAACAGGTGACACCATCTCATGCAAGAGTTCAAGAGTAAGTGAAGTAGAGCTGTGGCACCAGAAACTAGGACATACAAACTTCAAGAATCTGAAGCTTCTCAACAAGTACAATGCCATAAGAGGAGTACCAGATCTCAAGATCAAGGATATTCCTATATGTGGAATGTGCCAGAAGGGAAAGCAAACCAGAGTACCACACAAAGTGTTGCAACACGTTGGTACCACTATTTGTTTTGAACTTGTACATATGGATCTTATGGGTCCTATAGAGGTAGAAAGTCTAGGTGGAAAAAAATATGTCTTTGTATGTGTTGATGATTTTTCAAGATATACTTGGGTGTATTTTTTGAGAGAAAAATCAGACACCTTTGAAGTTTTCAAAAATTTGTACAGGTTTGTTAGAACTCAATTTCAAGTTTCTGTTCGTAGGATAAGATCTGATCATGGAAAAGAATTTGAGAATGCTTTATTTTTTGCTTTTTGTAATAAAAAGGGAATAAAGCATGAATTTTCTGCTCCAAAAACTCCTCAGCAAAATGGCATTGCTGAAAGGAAAAACAGAACTATTCAGGAAATGGCTAGGGTGATGATGAGTGCAAAAAATTTGTCTAAAAGGTTTTGGGCTGAGGCTGTCAACACAGCCTGTCACATCTCAAACCGTGTGTATCTAAGATTAGGATCTATGATGACTTCATATGAAATTCTTTATAGTAAGAAACCTAATCTAGAATACATGCATGTGTTTGGGTGTGTCTGCTATGTTCTAAATGATAGAGATCATCTAGCTAAATTTGATTCAAAAAGTGATTTGAGCTTGTTTATGGGATACTCTAATAACAGTCATGCTTATAGAGTATACAATCTAAGAACTCGAACCATTATTGAATCTGTAAATGTGGTATTTGATGACTTTGCTGATCTCCGCAGTAAAACAGCTGAAGATGAAGTTGATGACTTGATTGCTGAAAGGGAAACAACAGAAGAAGACACTTCTGCCACAGAAAGCCCAGACACAAACAGTCCAGTCTCAAGAGAAGAAGGTGCTGAGCCAAGTGTCACCACATCTGACTCAACACATCCTACAGAGACTGAGTTGCAACCAACCCTAGATGTCTGCAGAAAGGAACCATCAAGCAGAATCCAGAAAAATCACCCATCAACTCAAGTAGTGGGTGATATCTTTGGTGGAATAAGAACCAGAAGAAAAGAGAGAGTGAACTACAGAGATATGGTAAGATTTGCTAATTTATCTTCTGAATGTGCACTAACTGGAACCACTTGTTTTGTGTCTTCAGTGGAACCCAGGAATATTGCAGAAGCTCTGAAGGATGAATTCTGGGTAAATGCAATGCATGAAGAGTTGAATCAATTCATCAGAAATGATGTGTGGTACTTAGTTCCCAGACCAAGCCATGTAAATGTGATAGGGACTAAGTGGATCTTCAAAAACAAAACTGATGAAAAAGGTACAGTTGTTAGAAATAAGGCTAGGTTAGTAGCACAAGGATACACTCAAATTGAGGGTATAGACTTTGATGAGACTTTTGCTCCAGTAGCTAGAATTGAATCAATTAGATTACTTCTTGCTATAGCCTGCTTTCTTAAAATCAAACTGTATCAGATGGATATCAAAAGTGCATTTCTGAATGGGGTTTTAAATGAGGAAGCATATGTTGAACAGCCAAAGGGCTTTGAAGATTCTGCCAAACCTAATCATGTTTTCAAGCTTAAGAAGGCACTGTATGGTCTTAAACAAGCTCCTAGAGCATGGTATCAAAGACTCACTGACTTCTTACTTGAAATACAGTTCAATAGAGGGGAGGCATACAGAACCCTATTTGTTAGAAGAACTAATAATCATATCATTATTGTTCAGATATATGTTGATGACATTGTTTTTGGCTCTACTTGTGCTAACCTTTTACAGTCTTTTGTAGATTCAATGTCTCACACTTTTGAAATGAGTATGGTAGGGGAGTTGAATTACTTCTTAGGACTCCAAATCAAACAGACAGGTGAAGGAATGTTTGTTAATCAGAAGAAGTATGCTCTCAATCTGGTTAAAAGGTTTGAGTTGGAATCAGCCAAGCACATGAAAACTCCAATGGGTTCCAGCCAAAAACTGTCTAAGGATGATGTTGCAGAAGATGTCGACAGCACTCTCTACAGAAGCATGATTGGAAGCCTTCTGTATCTAACAGCAAGCAGGCCTGACATTATGTTTAGTGTTTGTGTGTGTGCCAGATATCAAGCAAATCCCAAGGTCACCCATCTTAAAGCTGTGAAGAGGATTATTAGGTATGTTGCAGGTACAGTAGACTTAGGGATTCAGTTTTTCAAAGACACAAATACAAACTTGATAGGCTTTAGTGATTCTGATTGGGCTGGGGATATTAGTGACAGAAAAAGCACATCAGGTGCATGTTTCTTTTTGGGGAATAATCTAGTTTCTTGGTTTAGTAGAAAGCAAAACTGTGTATCTCTTTCAACAGCTGAATCAGAATATGTAGCTGCTGGAGGGTGTTGTGGTCAACTAATTTGGATGAAACAAATGTTGGGAGATTATGGGTTAACCAGTGATACCCTGACCATATATTGTGATAATTCAAGTGCTATTGACATTTCAAAAAATCCCGTTCAACACTCACGAACTAAACACATAGATATTAAACATCATTTTATTCGTGATATAGTTGAGAAAAATATAGTGTGCTTAAAGTACATCCCTACAGAAGATCAGCTGGCTGACATCTTTACAAAGGCATTAGATTATGAGAGGTTTTCAAAACTCAGAAAATCTCTCGGGATGTGTACTCAATAAACATGTCCTGAAACGTGTTGCAGCACCTCATCAAATATCTTAAGCTGCAACACAATTTACTGAAGCATTAGCTTCATTAAATAATGACTTCACTGCGATGTATTATTTTCTAAATCAGTAACTGGAAGTCTTTCACCTTGAAACGTGGTCATGCTTCATGTAAACATTTAGACAAATAATTACACTCACATAAGTCAAACTCCTCTATTTTGATAGTCATATCTTAGTAACTGAGGAACCTTCAAACTGAACACTTGATCATGTTCCATGTGAATTGTTTGACTTGAAAATAAGAGTTTATATATAATATATATTTTATTATAAAATAAAAAACAAAAAAAAAAAAAAAAAAATTTATATATCTATATATATAATAATAAATATATAAATATACAGATAATAGTATCTATGCCTGTCAGCAAATTTTTCTCACTATTAATCATTAATAAATGTTTTTTTTCTATTATTTGTGAATATTTCTTGAGTGCTACGGTTTTATTGTTTTTTCTCTTTTCATTTTAATTATCCCTATTTATATGGGTCATGGGTACATGGGTTAATTCCTTATTTTCCACTAAGTCCACTCCTTATTGTGCCATGTGTCACGTTTTTATTTTAAACTGCCAAGGAAATTTTATTCTCCTTAATCACACTCTCCCCAAGAAAAACGGACACCACTTCTTCACCTTCTCCACTTCAATTTTTTCTTTCTTCTTCAGCAAAAATTAGGGCTTATAAATTTCGTGCTTCTTCTCACAAAATTCACACTCAAAAATCAAAAGCACAAAGAAGCAATTTTACTTTATCTACTGTATCATGGCATCCCCACATAGAAATCCTCCTCCAGCCGTCGATGGTGATGTCCACAACGATGCTGCAGCACCTGTACCAGCAGACCCAAATCTGGCCATCATCGTTCATCCAATCAACTTTGAAGCTGTTCCTATCAGCTACATTGAGCCCGGCGACGAGCTGAACCCGATTGACCCAGACAACTTTGATTTTGTGGGTCCCTCTTCCACCGCCGGAAGATTTCCAACGCGCCGGTCAAAGCGCACGAACCCTTTTCCAGATCTGAACACTGCGGTGCCTCAACGCCGAAGAGGAGAAAACTCTCCCCGGAGAGGAAGCAGAGGTGGAAGAAGAGGAAGCAGAGGTGGCCGCACTCCAGTCCAGTCAAACCCACGAAGAGGTCTTCATCTGGTAGATGAAGAAACTGATGACGAAGCAGGGGATCCTACCTTTGCTGCACCACAGGCTCAAGCCTTGTCCTCCAGCTCCTCTGAGTCTTCATCCAACAACTCACCTTCCCCAGCATCAACTCAGGGGGAGACGTCGCAGCCCAGCATGGCAATAGCAGCCTCTCAACATTCTGTTCCTGAAGGTGTTGCTGCACCTGTTTCAGAAGGTGTTGCTGCACCTGTCTCTGAAGGTGTTGCTGCACATGCTCCAGAAGATGCTGCTGCACCTACTGTTTCAGCAAATGTTTCTCAGAATGCTGCTGAGGATGCTGCCCCTTATCAGGATGAAGAAATGCCTGACTTCTCTGGAATGTCATCAGCAGAGCATGTAGACATTCCATTTGTCGATGCTCAGGAGTTCACCACTACAGAAGAAACTCCATCAGAACCTCAGGGAGATCCTCTGGAAACCCTGGCAGAAGCAGCAGCTCAAGCAGATACAATTCCTCCTCAGGCTGAAGAATCAGAGAAAAGTGAAGACAGTTGGGAGGTTCCACTAGCTACTTTTCGCAAAAACTTGTCCTCTTCTGATTCCGAAAGTGAATCCTCTGAAGACTCTTCTCAGCAGGAAGAAGGTGTTGCCCCACGTGCTGCATCACCTGAACCAGCATATGTTCCTGATGAGCTTGAAGATTCAGAAGATGATGATTCCTCAGAAGAAGAAGAACCAGACCTGGATGGGAAGAACTTGTCAACCCCTTTTGAGGTAACAAATGCTTTCAGTACTAATTTCTATTTTGAGTCTGATTCACTGTTGAGTCCTCAAGTCATGAATTGTCATTTCATTGAGGAGAAGAAAATTTCTAAGGAAGAATTTGATAAGCATAGGATAACAGCTTTTCTTCACCAAAGAAAAATCCTTAACCTAGTTGAGATTGCCTGCTCTTATGATCCCTTGGTTGTGAAAGAGTTTTATGCCAATTTGCAAACCTCCTTTTTAAAGAAAAACTCTCCAAACTTTGGCAAAGTTTTTGTGCGTAATGCCATTTATTCTTTTTCTCCCAAAGTTATCAACTCTCATTTACAAACTTCTACTGTGATTGATGAGGATAACTATGGTGATTTTACTGAAATTTGCAAAGTTATTTCTGGAAACCGTTTAAGAAATTGGCCTGCACACCCAAGAAAATTTCAAGTCTCTCAACTCACTGCTTTCTACTCTGTCCTGTTTAGACTCACAGTGGCTAATTGGATTCCATCCAAAAATGTCTCTGTGGTAACTAAGCCTCATGCTGTACTCATGTACAAATTGGGGATGGGTTTACCAGTGGATTTTGGCAAACTGTTCTTTGATACTATTGGTCATCTTGCCCAGAAAATTTCACCCTCCACTCACCTTCCCTATCCTTCTCTCATCTATTCCATCTTACTTTCTCAAAACTTGGGCCAAGATGACTCAGAATATCTTCACACCCCACAAGGCATGATCACTGTGTCTCAAAATTTTCTGAGGGCTCCTCATGTTCAAGATCTTCCCTGGAATGGAGATGATTTTCTCTCAACTGAATCAGGTCAAAATAACATTGGTACTGAGGGTGTTGCACCTCATGTTGACAACACTTCTAACCTTCTTGTGTCTGTTCCTAGAGATCTTCTATTGCAGCAGCTTACTCATTCTCTAGCTCAGATTACCTATCATCAGTCCATGGTGGAGATGATTCAGAAGGCTCTTTCTGATCAAAAAGGGGGAGAAAAAGATCATGAAACTGAAGCAGGAACATCTCATCCCTTGGATGCTAGAGGCAGAGAGCAAGGAGTCAATGAAGAGGAGGCAAAGAAAGAGGGGGAAGCTCAAGAAGAAAGCAGTGGATCTAGTGATGGAGGAGGAGCAGCAGCTGAAACTGAGGAGACCTTGGAGACTTTGGATATTTTACTTTAGATTGTTTTCATGAACAATATTTTTGTGTTTTGTTTATTTTCCCTCTGAACTTTTGTTTAGGACTGCACTTTGATTATTTCTTTTGTTGGACTATCTTGCTGAATTTGGTTTTAATTTATTGTTTCTATGTTTTTCAAATGGTATCAAATTCAGGGGGAGTTCAAGCAATATCTCAGGGGGAGTCTTTGACTAAGATTTAGTTTTGATCAGAAAGTTAAAAAGGGGGAGTTTGAAACACGTGAATTAAATTCACAATGTGTTTTTAACTTTTCTTAATTTCTAAACTAAATCTTAGTTAGTGGGCTTAGTAGGGCTAAGTAGTGCTTAGTGGATTTAATTATGGGATTTATCTTAACTTCCTAACTAACCCACTAACCCATTATCTTGAGTGCTCTTGTGGTTGGTTTTCTTGCAGATCATGGGCTGAAGAGTGGAAGCTTGGCAAGTCTATAAATACCAAACTCAAGACTCAAGATTATCACAGATTTCGAGAAAACAAAATAGAGAGCTGAAGTTTTAATCTCGAGAATTTTAGTGTGTTTTCTAGGATCTGTTGTACGTACTATTTATAAGTACATTCTTTGAAATCTAGAATTTTTGATATCTTTCTTTTAGTATCTAGATTTGGTTGTAAGAGTGATCTTGAAAAAGATTCACTCATAAGGAAGAAGTTTTCGCACTCTTCTGTTTGTATTCTTGGAATACTGATTTTAATATATTTTCCGTCCTGTAAAGGGCAAGTTCACAAGTCTTTACTTGTGAACATTTTTAATTCTGAGTATTGTTCTTTTGTCTTTATATTTCCGCTGCTTGTTTGTTCAAGTGTCATAACACCTTCAACAACACCTCTGTATTAAACGAATTCGGGACCATAAATTCTTTCACAAGTCTTGTCGTTGTATCTTGGGAGACGATTTCCATTCAAGCCGTTAGCACCGTTGCGGGGAAATTTCGTCTTAAGGACAGAGTCAACTCGTCTCGGCAAATATTCGTTCATAGCAGATTAATCCTAACAGGTAAAGTGCTCGAACACGAGAAGCACCGACACCAACATATATTTCGACGAACTGAGATGCAGAAATGAAGAAGAAGTTAACACCTGCCTCACCAGCCACAGCTTTTGCTAATAGTGTCTTACCCACACCGGGGGGCCAACAAAGAAGTATACCACCTGATGATTCCGACCCAACATTAGGCCACAAAACGAGAAGGACGAAATAGTTGAAAAAAAGATTACATACATAGGTGCAACATCAAATCATATTAGGATTACAAAGAATTCATCGCCAAATTTTCCATGTAAAGGTACACAAATCATATTCCAAGAAAATATGATTTGTGAACTTCACATCGACATCCCTTTCCAAAAACTGCGGAAGCTTCTTACGCTGGGCCCGCCTCACACGAGCCCCTGACTCTTAGTACTTTATCTTTTTCATATCCCTCCTTTTTTGCTTCTCCTCCATTTTCTTATGCGCTATTATGGCATTTTCCATCGTCTCCCTATCCTCCTTCATCTTCGCCAGCTCGTTGTTCCTCCTCCTCTTAAACTCCTCTCTCACCCTCTTCAACTCCAATGCTTTCTTCTAATGAGGCTTGGTCTTAACCAACGAAAACATCCATAAGGGGTTTTGGACAAGAACCCGAGATACGGCTTCGGAATATCAGGATTTTTCGCAGATGGACTGTAAGCAGTCATGCAGAGACCGTCGATTTTCATCTCATCCCACTCTTGCCAAAACTTAGGATCACTCTCGACCGAAGGCAGTATTGTCCTAGCAACCTTATTATCCTCCAAAACCACCAAAACTACCGAGAATTTGACTAAAGCCAAAATGAGTCTTCCCGAGTTTTGATTCTTCTTCTTTTTCTTCATCTGTGGTGATAGTTTCTGGGTTTCAGTCAAATTGCTATTTTCTTGGATGGTTGTGGGAGTGAGGCTGGAATTTTTTCTCTAAAAAGCCTTGTTTTCGATGGGTAGATATTTTCTTGGATTTTCACTTGTTGTTGATGGGTTTTGTAGAAGATTATAGCTCCAAACCGAACCGAATTTCGTCGAAGAAAATCTTGGAGTGGTAGGGCGAAACGTAGGCTGAGGATATGGAGGTAGTTGAGGCCGGAGAGAGTGTTCGCCATAAGGAGAGCGGCGGTCAGCTATGTTCAATGTATTTTTGGAAAATTGCAAATCAGTTCCTGACTTAAGGAAGAAAAGGGCCTTTATGAAACTTCAAGGGAGTGAATTGGAAAAATTAAAAACTTTATTTGAGGCTTATTTTTTAAATTTATAATATAAAGTGTATTTGAGTCTTTTCACGTCAAAAAATCGAACACCATATTTGGCGAGTGTATCACACGACCAGCTCGTGGGGGCCTTAATGACGTTGACTATGCAACACAAGACGTATGTGCTAATTGTTTTGACATAGGGACTTTTTTAGCCATTAGAGATTACACTAGGTTGTCGGATGCTAAAACCTCCATACTTTTATGTCCGATCAATTTCTTATTATTATTGGGCAAATGGCAAAAATGGGATATGACAAGGGACTTAATGCACATTGGTCCATAAAAAAAAACAGTCTTTTAAATGGGATAATTAGTGAGAACCCCCTAATACATTTGACTATATGAAGGTGGATACAACCCCTTTTCTTATATTAGTGAGATCCCCCAGTTAATAATTAAAATCCTTTTTAATTAAAATTGGATTTTGACCTGACTATTCTACCCCTGAATAATTAAATCTAATAAAATATGTGATCACGTTAAATCAGCAGTTTCCAAATCGTATAATTATAAAACCTAATCACATCTTTAGCACCCAATCGTCATTCTGTCATCTCCATCACGTCTTCTATTCTGTCTCGAACTGGGGATCCGGTGGTGGCGGCGGCGAAGGCGACGCGGCCAAGGAGAGGACAAAGGGGGGCCACATATTGACAACGACGAGGGAAGACCCCCGCGGTTCGTTAAAAAATTGGCACCTCTAATACAAATTCAAGCGCCTCTTCGTCGGTGACGGCGCTCAAGGAGAACACGGCGGCGGCGGCGGCCAAGGAGTGGCCGCCAACTTTCACTTCTCTTTTCCACCCCGACCAACACTGGTTTTACTGCCTTTGTTCAAGAATTCAACTATTGCCTCTGTGACTGCTTCCAGACCCATTTTATCATTCAATTAGAAAACAAATGAATAAATTATTTTCTAAAGGAAGAAGATTTATCACAAATTGTCGGATAATTATCCTTCAGAAATGGAGGAATCGAATGAAAGCAAAGCTTACTTTGGGGAGAGGGCAACGAGGCAGACGCACAGGATTTGCTTCATTTTTTAATTAAGTTCATAATTTTTTTCTTTTCGGATTTTTTAGTGCTGAATTGTAGAAACTTGTATTGTTTTGGGAGCTACTTTTGTTCAATTAATTGTCAATCGGATGTTCGTTTGTTGAAATTGTGCTGGTGTTATTTACAAAATTATAATTGTTTTCGTTACTGTTGTAGTCGATTTCATTATTCTAACTAGATTTGATAGTTGATCTTGATAATTTGTAGTTGTTTTAATTGATAAATAGTTGTTTTAACTGAAAAATAGTTGCTTTAAGAGAAGAAATATAGTTGTGTTGGTGTTATTCACAGAAATATAGTTGTTTTAACTAAAAAATTATAGTTGTGTTGGTGATATTCAGAGAAATATAGTTGTTTTAACTGAAAAATTATAGTTATGTTGGAGTTAATTACATAAATATACTTGTTTTAACTAAAGAATTAATGATGCTAACATAAAAATAATCTATATTACATATATTTATATAATAGGACAATATATGCTATAACAAAACAAAGTTTAAACATATCTTGAAAATTAAGAAAACGTAAATTTAAATAACAACTGTCAACAACATTAAACAAAATCCATTTTAAGGGTTACAGTGATCAAGCGATGTTAGTGTTTACGTTTTTGTTCGTCCTGTTGTCCTTGCACTTCCCCCATTTTATAAGAGTCTTCACAATTTTTGTCCACATTTGGAGGTAGTCTATTTCGATTTCTTCCTTGATGATTGAATGTTCCTCGAAAATGTTCTTTGGCGTATGAAACGGGCTACTATCGTTGTGTGCCCTCTGTTAAGACAATATAGATCAACATCATGTAAAAAATAAATGCATATCAAACACGGTCTGTAGAGAACTACTTATTGGTTAATTTACAGAAATATTTATAGAATAGTCTATCTAGGCAGAATAGTCTATTTTTCAAAATTGTCTATGTACATATTAATGAACTGTTACCTAAATAGTCTATTAACAGTTAACAAAAACAGTTTAATAATAATTCCAGAACATTCAAGACACCCAAGCAAATAGACTATTTGGAATCAAAATGGCATGCAATTTTTTTGACCGAGCAAGTACTACATACAAATGTCCACTAATTACATCAAGAATAACAGATTAATAACAATCTTAATGAACTATTTAAACAAACAACTACAATATAGCCATATAATCTACAATTACATAGTTTACAAGGAATTGCTTACAAAATAGTATGTCTGCAGTATACTCAAAAACGAATTGCACATTTTGTTTTCAAAGTCATCTGTTCCAAATATATACCAACAAAACTACAAATGTAACATTGAACTATTTCTATTTTCGCTAATTGCGAAACAACTACTTAACAATTTCAAAAACAGTCTATTAACTGCTAACACAAATAGTCTATTACTAATTTTTTTCTTTTTTCAATTAATAGACTATTTTCTTTTTTTCCAACTCAAATAGTTGATTCTCTTTTTCCAACTTTTTTTCTTTTTTCTTTTTTTCCAAAAAAAATAATTAGATATTTTTCTTACATATATGAAAACACATATTTTACTTAACAAATGCATCGATTTAAAATTATATTAATTTCCCTATAAATATACTTCAAATAGTCTATTTACCCACGATTAAAATTGTATTAATTTCCCCATAAATATACTTCAAATAGTCTATTTACCACC